CTTAGAATTAGTTGGTGTTTCCCATTTGGCATGGCACAACAGGACGGAAATGAATGTAAAATAGTCCCTACTAGTGCAGACTAAACTTACATTTCATTGTATTATAGAGAGCGAGAGATATCTGAATACACGGTTTTCTGGCATTGCAGTCTGAATATCCAACGCTATCCAGACAACCCTCTAAAGACAGGCCAATACAAACATTCTTGAAATGTCTGGAAATATTCTATTCCACGGCAAGTTCCAATTTCTTTTCTTCTTAAAAAAAAAAATTATTAAAGTATTGAAAATGGAGCATAAAGGATTAATTAGAGAAGTTGTATGAAATAAAAAGTACATATAGCTGTTATGGTAAGCTACCAAATACACAATTATATCCAATAATAACAGCATTAACATAAAAAGAAATAAAATACACGTTCTCCTAAATTTATAAAATCCTCAAAACAAGCACTAACAAATATATGAACAACGAAAGCTTGAGAACAAAAAAAGACAAGGCTTTAAGGATCATCTTCATCATCAATACCTACCTGATCATGAGTTACAGTCCATGTGTGAGTCACAAGCACCCCCATGAATTTATAACATGATGAATTCTCAAGCTTCTTATTACTGTGCGCTCAGTTCCATTCATAAAAACTTTAATTTCCCTTCAGCACAAGTATTCAAAAGAACGTACTGGTTTCTTTGAAACAAATCCTACCAATTGGCAGTGTCGATTCTTGACATGAATGTCACTTAACAGGTTCAGCCAATCTTGTGAAAGGTAAAAAACCGTTTTCCTATTTCACAGAAACACAACTATATGCTATAACCCTGTACAACCTGATCATGTATGGATCAAGCAGCAACATTGCTTCAAAATCAACAAAAAAATCATCCAAGTTAGTTTGCACAAAATTTCTTTTTTTTTTCCTACAATGTAGCTCTAGGAGACCTGACTATGTGTCTATAAACTTGATTATTGCAACTCAAAAACCTCCATAGCTTCTCAGCTTAAAACACAGTATAAATGAGAAACAAGCTCCTTTATTAAAACACAAATTATGAACCAAACACAATTATAATTACCATAAATGCCTATTTCATTGTCATAACTTGCCAATCTTCTTCAAGAAGCATGTCCAAAATAGATCAATTTAACCAATTATAAAACATCAAGCAAAACAGCACTATTCAAAATGCAAAAACAACACAGTGATATAACCAGTTCAATCTCAAATACTGTCTTATAAAAAAGTGTTCCTAATTTTTAGTTCTCTTATTATTAAAAAGAATGGCAGGCATCAATCTGTTGGAATGACAGACCAAAAATAACCAGCTGCCTTTAAGGTGTTTAAATAACACTGGCAATGTATCAACTATATGACCTAATTTATATTCAATTTCTTTTCTTAGGTAAAATAATAAATAATGAATAGGAATTGTCTGACCACATATTTAGGACCTGATAAAAGTAAAAACTGCTTGCTACACAGCTTCAGGGGCTGTTCATACATGACACCACAAGACACACAGAGAGACTAATCGTCAACCTAAGTGTGCACCATCACATGTATTTTATTGTATATAACTTTATTTATATTATTTTATTTGTATTGCAGACGATATAATTTAATATTAAGTATACAGAACTTTTAGCATTTGAAAAACAGGGAAAAAAATATCCACATGAATGTAAAAAAGAATAATGGCTTTACTTGCACGTAAGAAATTGCAGGGAAAAATGTGAGAAACCTCTCTCAACTTGACGTACTTGATACATGCAGTAAATTTAAAGAAATTCTAATTCATTTTAAATAAAGATAAGCAGGTCCTCCTGACCAAAATT